AAGATAGAGCCTCGGAAAGGAATACAGACATTATTTCTCATTGTTCAACTCTACGGTTTGCGGCATGCAAGCAAGCGTCTTCTGCATGCAAGCAAGCTTGCAAGCAAGCGTCTTCTGCATGCAAGCAAGCTTCTTCTGCTGCGGCAGTGTTGTCATGGGGCGCGCTTTGCAGTCCACTATCTGATCAGGTAGGCACAGCTCCAAAGACCTGTTAAGTTCTCACCTTTATCATGTTTGTTCGGTTAATGGCAGTGACGGTATGCTCACGCAATGTCATGCCTTTTCCCCAATGTTGTATCGGCTAGCCACTGCCGAGCGCCAACTAGAATCGGCAATCTCCGTGTCACAAGAGTCACCAAAATCTCATCTTTCTTCGTTCTGTCAAGTTAACGTGGGTGCAACGTGTCAAAGGATGTCCAAGCTCGCACCTTTGTCTTGTCTTTTTTGTTTTTGTCAGGAGAAGTGCTTGCACTTGCATGCTGTCTGTTGCTTTCACTGTCCAAGCTCTCACCTTTGTTTGCTGTGCCATGAAAAAATGTTTATGCAAACCTCTTTACCTGGCAGCTTCTCTATTTTTTTGTTTTTTTTTCCAGAAACAATAAAGGATGTGGCATGTTTTGAGTTCGCAAAGGCAAAGAAAACAGACGCCAACACATGTTTGTTTTTGCACCCTATTCAACTCGGACGTGACTTGAACGTACTTCCCTCTTTTTTTTCTTTTTTTCTTTTTTTCTTTTTAGCAGCCTCCCTATATTAATCTGTCCTTCCTTACTCATTTGACAATGTATGGTTTCTGAAACGTATTTAGTAGTATCTGCTTGCCACCATACACAGCCAGCTAACGCCGATGATTTGATTTCGGGGGAGGGTAGAGAGTTATCAAGTTCTCACCTTTTTTTTTTTTTTTTTTTTTTTCCTTGTGTCAAGTTGATTTCAGTGCAAAGCTGATGGCAGCTGTTTGTTTTCTGCTTGATCCTAGCCTATCCTTAATCATTTTCCACTCGCCTTACCAGCCTCGGCGGGCTGTCACCGGCAGAAACGTAGCGGTGGCCGGTGCGTGCATAATAGCATATGAATACACCAGAGAAGAGAGATCTCTCATTGCTGGCATGCACTCTCTTCCATCTATTCATGGCCTTTTTCATGAAATTCAATTTAATTCATGTTGTTGTTGTTTTTTCCCTTTAAATTTTCTTTTCTTTTGCATTTTAATCATTTCAATGGGGACGTGAATCATGGGCTCTCCAAAACACATAAAAAATCTCGGGCTTGATGTTATCATACTACTAAGAAACGTGTGTACTTTTAAGTTGAAAACTGCAGTGATATATTCTGTAATTACCTAGGCTACCAGCCGGGCCGCCCGGGTCCCGGGTGGCCAGCCCGTGCAAGGACCAGATAAGGTCCCAGCGAAAACGCCAAAACAAAAACACCTCGAAAAAAATCCGAAAAAAAAACTTATGTTATGTAGAAACAGAAACTGAACAACTCCAGTGTAACATCGAAATTCGTTACCAAATTGAACATAAAAAACAATAAAATCAAACTTTTTTTTTTTTTTTTTTTTTTTGGCCCGGCCGGGCAAGTGACCCCGGGCCACTCTGCTAGCCGAGGTAATTACTAATTTCTCTTTTTTTTAATGGATTCTGCTGTGCGTCCTGCCTTGCGGTAAGGTTGTCGTGAGTGCACTTTGTTGCATGAAATGATGATAGGGCGTGTCCTGGTGCTATCACGTAACTGCTTGGAACACGAAACACTGTTTTTTTTTTTTTTTTTTTTTTTTTTTTTTTTTTTTTTTTTTGGGCTGGGAAGGGGTTTTGTTTTTGTAGGAGGGTGGGGGTCATCGGAGGGTACCCCCCATAATTTTTTTCATTATTTGTTTTTCAAATTTTCACGAATAATATTTTGTTTAATGAAGAAAGGGAAAAAAAAATCAGGGAACCACTCGCAGCCAGAATGAGCATTTTTGTTTGTTGTTTTACGGGTTATTTCGATTTATTTATTTATTTTTAACGTCATGACAATGTGGGGCTTGTGGCTACGGTGGGCGGGTGAGCCAGGACCCAAAAAAAAAGAAAACGTGCTCCCATGGTTTGGTCGGTCATCACCGTTTACGGCCGCAGCCGCACAGGGGCATGTGACCGGCCGGTCTCCTTTCACTGACCGAACGGCCCCGGTGAAGTTCATGCGGTAGACACTGCTCTTTTTTTTTTTTTTTTTTTTTTTTTTTCTGCACGATTATAATGTTTCGGTGTGCATTGGTGATACATTGTGCGTACGAGTGTCCTTCTTCTCTGTCGGTGGGTTTTGCATGGTTGCATGCATGGTGTTCTCCTCTCCCTCTTACGTCGACTATAATTTTTCCTTGTCCATTTACGAACGATACTTTTGTGTACGAGCGTCCTTCGTCTCTATACGTGTCTTCCATGGATGCATGAATGGTGTTCTCCTCTCCCTTTTATGTTGATTACAATTTTTTTGGGTGTACAATGACGATACTTTGGCGTATTTCGGTGTACATTGACGACACTTGGGCGTAAGAGTGTCCTTCTTCTCTATCGGTGTGCGGTGGCATGGATGCATGAATGGCGTTCTCCGCTCCCTCTTATGTCGTCCGTGAAGTGAATACCGTTGGTCGGTCGAACCTTTTGGTTTCTATCCTTCTTAACCACGTATTGCGCATATGGTGCGATGGTGATCTGGTTGTCGTAGCTGGTTGAGTATGTTGTGCTCGTATTTTTGGACATATTCCTTTGCGCATCAGGACGTGAATGGTGTCTATGTTCATGAGGATGGGATGCAAGTTGCGGACGGACGATTGTTGACGGTACCCGCGATGATATGACTTTGGAGTGTTTTTGGCCATTAAAAAAAAAAAAAAAACTCCTGCGGAGGTATCAACTTTGTTTACCGCACGTGCTGCTCCCCACGAATAGATCGGAGCTGTTAAAAAAAAAAAAAAAAAAAAAAA